CCAGCCCTTCCACACACATTGCTAAGCTCTGGAATTAAGTGATTTTCTTCTTTTTTTTGGAAACGGACTCTCGCTATGTCCCCCAGTAGCTGGGATTATAGGCGCGCGCCACTGTGCCTGGCTAATTTTTGTATTTTTACTAGAGACAGGGTTTTGCCATGTTGGCCAGGCTGGTCTTCAACTCCTGACCTCAGGTGATCATCCCGCCTCGGCCTCCCAAAGTGCTGGGATTACAGATGTGAGCCACCACGCCTGGCCAGTGACCTTCTTTTTACTACCCTTCTGGGATTTGATTTTGCAAGTGGCCATGGCCAAACCTGGGTTTGGTAACAAAATGCTGCCAGGTTGAATACAACAGATGAGGGGCACCTTTTTCCTTAAAGCGGGATCTGTCAATTCTGCTTACAGCACTGAAGCCCACAGATCCTGATTGCTGCCACACCTAGCAGAGCAAATGCCCATCTGTTATTACATATTCCCATACAATATCAGTGTTTTTGCTCTGTTGACTGCTCATGTCACACATCTTGAACAAGTGTTCCCAACCCTCGCATGTTTTTTGATTAAGACAACAAAAATTAAAATCTAAAAAGAGCACAAACATGAAAGCCTTTTGAGAATATTAAGGTAGATGAAAATGACAATAAATAAAAAATTGAAATTCCCTTTTTACAAGCCAATGGCACAAAAATATTTTCTGATTACAGCACCCTATGTACACATTTTCTAAGTGGTATTTTTTATATCTCTGAGAACTAAAACCAAATTTAATAATCACTCATCAAAAATAAGAAAATAATTAATATCTAACAGAACAGGTGATCTGTACAAAGACATGTCATGTACACATTTATGGAAGTGAGATGGAAGGAATTACAGAGTCCAGCCATTGTCTAAATCTTTGTGTAAGGAGAAAGTAAGGCAACATCATGAAGTTCACACCTGCACAATTAAGAAGTGGTTGCTCCTTGTATTCAGACGTGAAGTGTTACTGTACTGCTACACAAATCAATACCTTGTTATCCTTTCACATGCACAGAAACTAAGCCATATAATGGAAAGTTTCACACATCTTTTTAAGCATAAGAATCTGAGTCAATTTTGCCTTGTGGCTTCCAAAACAGTTTCTGTCCTTCTCTTCAACCAGAGATATTTCAGAGAAAATTTGCAGAAAAACAAAAAACAGAGAACGTGTAACATCAGTCTTTTCCAATAAAAGTGATATTCACATTAAATTTAGGAAAGAGAAATACGAGAAAAGATTAAAATAATTAAAAGTGTTCATTGAAAAATAATTGTGAATCCATTTTTAAAATAGAGGAATGAACACCTTAAATATACAACACAAAAATTAAAATTTGGTTTTAGATGATGCTTATGAGAGTAAAAAAAAGAAAAAAATTATACTCAAGTGTTAAACACATTTGAACAACAAATCATATCAAAACCAGGGTAAATATTACAATGCAAGAAATAAAGTCTTAAGGTGTCACTGGTCAGCCTGCAAAATCAGTATTGAACAAACTCAGCCTTATTCAAAACTGAATTCCTCACCTCACCAACAGAAAGGGCAGGAAGCTGCTGTCCTTGCACATGGAGACCCCATACAGTGGCTCTGAGCTCAGAGGCTCCCATGTGGATCTGACTTTGGTGGGCATGGTCTGGAGGAGAAGGAACCTGTCACAGAGTCGTCTACACCAGTGCAGGAGGTTACTATGGCTGCATCTCAAGGTTTTCAACACTACTGGCTGTTGTTGAAAGTATTTATACATAAAGTGGGGAGTGGTGTTGGGGGATTGTCTAAGATTCACAAGGATATTAAGAGACTCAAGAGTTTACAGCAACAATTTAAGTTCTAAACCAGCCAGGTGCGGTGGCTCATGCTTGTAATCCCAGCACCTCAGGAGGCTGAGGTGGGCGGATTGCTTGAACTCAGTCAGGAGCTCGAGATCAGCCTGGGCAACAAGATGAAACCCCATCTCTACAAAAAATACAAAAAAAAATTTAACTGGGCAGAGTTGTGCACCTGTGGTCCTAGCTACCTGGGAAAGTGAGGTGGGAGGATTGCTTGAGCCCCAAAGTCGAGGCTCCAGTGAGCCAAGATCTTGCCACTGCACTCCAGCCCAGGTGTAAGAGCGAGATACTGTCTCAAAAAAACATTAACTTTCTTTTTTTAAAAATGTTCTAAACCTACAGCTTTATTCAAGGTACAGCTGAAAGTACTGGTGTAGGTGCAAGGCATGCAGGTTGTTACATTTTTTACTTCATTATGGAAAAGCACCATGGTTAAAAGAAGAGGCTCTGGGCCAGGCACAGTGGCTTACATCTGCAATCTTAGCACCCTGGGAGACAAAGCAGGGAGGATTGCTTGTGGCTAAGAGTTCTACACTAGCATGGGAAATATAGGAAGACCCGGTCTCTACCAAGAAAAACAAAATTAATTAACCAGGCATGGTGGCTTGTGCCTGTAGTCCTAGCTATTCAGGAGGATGAGAGGGGAGGATCATTTGATCCCAGTAGTTCAAACACAGAATCTGCTCTACGATTGAGTCACTGTACCCTAGTTGGACAACAGGACAAAATCCTCTCTCTCTTAAAAAAGAAAAAATACAAAACAATCTCTGGAGAGAAAAGTATTGTCCTAAATAGACTCTCTTAATCATAAGACAGTGTAGGCTGGGTGTGGTGACTCACACTTGTAATCCCAGCACTTTGGGAGGCCGAGGTGGGCAGATCACCTGAGGTCAGGAGTTCGAGACCAGCCTAGCCAATATGGTGAAACTCCATCTCTACTAAAAATACAAAAGAATTAGCCAGGTGTGGTGCCACACACCTACAATCCCTGTTACTCGGGAGGCCGAGGCACAAGAATCGCTTGAACCCAGGAGGCGGAGGTTGCAGTGATCCATGGTTGCGCCATAGCACTCCAGCCTGGGTGACAGAGTGAGACTCTGTATCAAAAAAAAAAAAAAAAAAAAAAAAAAAAAAAAAAAAACCAGATAATAATAAGACTGTGAAATTTGCACAAAGATAGAAGAAACAACCAGTAACTTAAAAAATAAAAACAGAGCTAGAAAGCAGAAATACACATATATAAAAATTAATTTATACATTGATGCATGGGGGAGAGATCAGTTTTTAATAAAATGTTCCAGGAAATTGAATATTCACAGGGAACAACCAAGATACGACCTTTGACCTCACATACACACAAAATCAATTCCAGTTGGTTCATAGGCTTAAATATAAAAATAATAGAGTATTCAGAACACAATTTAGGAAAATATCTTCATGACACAGGGTAGAGTGAGCTGTCTAACTAGACCTGAAAATTATTTAGCATGTCAGACAAGACACATTCTACATAGTCGAAGTGAGCAAAGACTCTGGGGCAGACAGTATCAAACTCAAGGGTCCTTTATACCTTTCCCGCAGAAAGTCAGCTCAGACTCCAAAATGGAGCACAGGAGTGAAAATCGTGCTCACTTCTTGAGATGTCAGTGTGCATTGTAGGAAATGATAACATACAAAGCATGCAGTATATTATCAAGCCTATACTAACCTCTAAAAATTAATTTTCTAATAAATTGTGGGATATATCATTTGTGTCCATTGTAACATGTCATTACTTCATACACCAGAATGGAAGAACAAAACCACTAACAAATGAAGAAACTAATACTTTTATCACTTATAAATAAATCACATAGGAATAATATAAATACATTATAATTACTGGAAAACTATTTTCAATGTGCATACATGTGGATATTTGTCTTGTGTCATTCCTATGATTACATGGGATGGAACATACAAGAAAAACACATTGACAAAGGTTTTCCTAAATTTTCTCTCATTCAGCTGTAACGCTCCTGAATCACTCGTCAATTCATCTTGCCCATAATTTTCCCCGTATTATTATGACCTGTGCTAATCTGAAGCTTGGTGATGCTGCACTTCTTGTGAGATTCCTATGTTGCTCCTGTGAGTTTATCTTTCCAACCTTCTGAAACCTTCTATGCAAGATATGATGTTAATGATATGACCTGAAAATGTCAATGGAAGGTTTATAGACCAAGCTCATGTATATGTAAATGAGGACAATAACATTATGGTTGCCTTCTCGTCAATAGTGTTTTAACACTGTCAAATTTAAGGTGCACCTGTGTTTCATAAACGTGAAAATGTGCCCTCTACGATGAGTGGAATACACTGTCCTCTGTGACTGCCAATTTCTCAGTGTTAGATTATGGGGGCTCATCAACTGTATTCTTACCTGTTATTGAAGGAATATGTTTAAATATTATCACATAAGTTTACCAAGTGCATTTACATTCTACGTAGCTATTAGACACATTAGAGTTACTAGTGGAACACTAGAATTCTTATGTTATGCATGGAAACGTAGTTTTATGAACTATGGTTTAAGAAATCCACTGAGGAAGAAGATGGCAATTATAAAGAGTTACTTGAAAAATTCACTAGAGTGATAGCTTTCTAAAGACCTAGAAAAAGCTGTATCTTGAAACTTTCCACTGCAGTCTTAGGAATATAACCAATGATCCTTGTAAGCTTCATTATAAATTCCATTCTTTCAGCTATAATATTTATGTAACTCTTTTTTCTTCATTCCCTTTTGCCGTTTTAACCATATGGCTGGTGATCACAGAAATCACTTTATACTTAGTCACTGCAGACGTAGATGCATAATGGTCTTTATAAAATGTTTTAATCTGTCCCCTTGCTACTCTGGTCAACCCTAATTTGGGTACTTGGATTTGGGGACTGGTTTTGATGTTCCCTCAGGAATACACTGATAGAAGAAGAAACACATAAAGTATGAATTTCTGTATACCCAAAATTCAGTCAACCTCCTAAACGATGGGAGTTTCTTATGTGTATGCAGAAACTCACATACAAAAACAAAAACTCACAGAATTTAGGAGGTTGACTGAATTTTCCCCTACAGTTTTAAATTCCAGCAAGGCTAAATAAATACACATAGTGTCATGTTCTCAAATATCCAAGACATTCTTCCACTGAACTCCAACTTCTAATCAGGTTAGAGTGTGGAGTCCAAGTGTTGGGTATTTGCCTCATGATCTGGTCTAGAATTTGGTTTCTTTTAAATGGCATCTCTTTTAGAATTGTGATGTCCAGGCCAACCTCTAAGGAACTGTTGGTTTAAGGTATTGTGGGAAATCACATCTTCCATGCAGTTAGAGTGTGTCTGGGAACTCCCTGCTCAGCACTTTGTCATCTGCTTTCTCCACTCACTAGCATCCAACTGCAAAAATCCTGTTGTGTAAAAGATTCATATCCAGGTCTCTGTAAGTAGGGTGTGGCCTAAACCCATTTGTTAGAAACGTTTGTTGTACTCTGCTTACCTGCTACCTTGGTGGCTTTCGGGCTGGCAGTGGGCAATAGAAGGCATGGTCCCAGACAATTCCTGATGGAGTCTGTAGAATGAAAAGAACTAAATTAGGACATATTTTTCTGAAAGGTTTGAAGGTACAGTTGTCTTCTGATTACTTGAAGAAGAAATCCCTGTACCAAGAAAACACTATCCTGAATGCAGAAATATGATTTATGTTCCCTGTCACTGAAATTTCTAATTCTTGGCTTCTAATATCTGAGTCATAGCTCCCAAAAATGCTTCAATGGGATCCTGAATATACACTGCTCAATGATGTCTGCACATGGGGCTTTCTGGATAAGTGAAGGAAAGGCAGCTTTTTCTGAACAAGTGGTTGCTGACATTCCAACTGGTGACTGGGTAACAGAGAAGGAGAAAAAGGACGACAGTCCCTAGAGCTTGATGGTGCCTTCCCGAGGCAGGTGTACCTGGGTTTGGAAAGGTGATTAGATAAAAAATGCTCATTTTCTATTCTCTCCCTATGTGCCCATTCATCTCTGGAAGCCAAAGATTTTTGCTTATGTCTTTGTTTTCTTTTTAAAGATATAATAATTTTAGAAAACAAATTTATTTTGAAATAATTGCAGATTTACAAAAAGACACACAGGTAGAACAGACAGTTTCATATACCCTTCAGCTAACTAAAATGTTACTATTACAACTATAGTATATTCATGAAAACTAAGAATTTCACTATGTTTCAAAACTATTAACTGATCTACAGATTTCCTTCATATTTTACCAGAATTTCTAATAATGATATGTTTATGTGTTCCAAGACCTAATCTAGAATACCACATTGCAATTACTGTCAGGTATATTACTTAAGACTTGGTGCATAACAGACTACTATACATCTTAGTGGTTCAAAAGCACACACATATTACTCACAGTTTCTCTGGGTCTTCAGTCCAGATGTAGGTGATGGCCCAGGCTAAGGCTCAGCTGGGGAAGGGTCTCCTTCCAAGCTCATGTAACTATTCTTAGGATTAACCTCTCTGACCTCATCAAGAAGAATTCATCAGTGAATTATTATAATCATTTAAAAAAATTAATACTATTTCATTACAAATTATTCCAAAAAAGTGGAGAAAACATGATTTCCCATTGTATACTGAGTTAGTTTACCCTGATACTGCAGCCAGACAAAGACACTTCAAATAGGGAGAATGAAGAACAATATACCTTATGAATACAGGGACAAACATCATCAAGGAAATATTAGTAAAACAAAGCAGAAACATGTAAAAAGTATTGTATGCTATATCAAGGGTATTTACCTCAGGAAAGCAAAATTTGGTTCAACATACAACTAGTGCTATGCACTGTATTCATATAATAAAGAACAAAAACCACATAATCATCTCAGAAGATGCATAGGCACTTGAGAATTTTCCAACTCCTCATGAGAAAAATATGCAACAAATGACGCAGATAAGGGAACTGTCTCCCTTTTAAAGGGGATCCATGAAAAACTACTGTATCATCATAAGTTATCTGAAACGTTCACTAATTTCTCCAAGATTAGAAACAAGACACGGATTTCCACTCTTGACACTTGTTTTCAACATTGTACTAGAGGATACAGACATGACAGTTAGTCTAGAAAAATAAAAATAAGGCTTCCAGGATGGAAAGGAAGTCAAACTCTGTCTGTTGGCATATGACATGATCTTACGTATAAAACTTCTAAAGGACTCAATCAAATATGTTTAGAATTTAGAAATGAGTTCAACAAACTTGCAGTATACAAGGTGAAGATATAAAATCCTCTGAATTTCTATATGCTAGCAATTAATAATCTAAAACAAAAAACTCAGACTGTTCCATTTGAGATGACACCAAAAATAAGTTTATCAAATGAAGTATAAGATATATACACAAAAACTATAGAAAACATTTTGAAAAAAAATGGAAAAAAACTTTGGCTATTCATTGCTTATAAAGGTTAATGTTGTTAGGCTGGCAATATTCTCCAAATGGATCTAGAGATTTAATGCAACCTCTATCAAAATCCCAGGTGACACTTCCTTCTTCTAAATTCACAAAGCTTATCGAAAGTTCATATATAATGCAATAGACCCAGAGTAGCCTAAATTATTTTGAGAAAGAAAAAAAAAGTTGGCATGGAGGATACACACTTCCTGACTTCAAAACTCACTGCAAAGTAATAGTAATCAAGATGTATGGTACTAGTATAAGAATATAGATGTTGATCAATGTAATAGAATATAAGGCTCAAAAATGAATACATACATTTATAGTGAAATAATTTTATAATGTCACCAAATAAATTATATATGGATAAATATTTTTAATAAAATATTTCTAAGCAAGTGCATATTCCATGCAAGTCGAACTCCTGCCTCACACTGAAAATATAAGTGACTCAAAAGGATCATATATCTATATATAATAGCTAAATAGGCCCAGAATATAGAAAATAACACAGGAATACATCTTCGTGGTCTTAGGTTAAACAATCTTTTCTAAGATATGATGCCGAAAGCAAAAGGGAAGAAGAAAAAACAGGCATATTAAACCTCATTAGAATGTGAAACTTTTGTGATTCACACTGCACCAACAAAAATAAAGACATCCAAAGAATGGGAGCAAATATTTGCAAACAAAAGCAAAAATTGGCAAATGAAACCTAATTAAACTTAGGTTTCTGCACAGCAAAAGAAAACTATCTACAGAATGAACAGACAACCTACAGAATGGGAGAAAAGTTTTGCAAACTATGCATATGACCAAAGTCTAATATGCAGCATCTATAAGGAACTTAAACAAATGTTCAAGAAAAAAAAACCAACTCCATAAAAAAAGAGGGCAAAGGACATGAACAGACACTTTCAACAGAAGATATATATGTGGCTAACAATCATATGAAGAAAAGCTCAACCTCACCGATCCTGAAAGAAATGCAATTAAAAATCACAATGTGATACCATCTAACACCAGTCAGAATGGCTATTATTAAATAGTCAAGAAATAGATACTGGCAAGGTTGTGGAACAAAGGAATTACTTACACACTGTCGGTGGATGTTTAAATTAGTTCAACCACTGTAGAAGGCAGTGTGGAGACTACAAGAAGACCTAAAAACAGAAATATCATTTAACCCAGCAATCCCATTACTGAGCATATACCCAAAGAAATAAAAAGTGTCCTGTGAAGAAGACACACGCATGCATAGGTTCATTGCAGCACTATTCACAATAGCAAGAATGTGGAATCAACCTAAATGCCCATCAATGGTGGACTGCATAAAGAAAATGTGGAACACACACATCATGGAATACTATGCAGCCATAAAAAATATCATGTCTTTAACACGAAAACGGATGGAGCTGGAGGCTACTATCTTTAGCAAACTAATGCAGGAACAGAAAACCAAATACCATGTTTTTTCCCTTATAAGGGGGAGGTAAATGAGAAGAACACATAAACACACGGTGGGGAACAATACACATTGAGGTTTATCAGAGGGTGGGAGGCGAGAGAGGATCAGAAAAGATAACTAATGGGCTAATGGGTACTAGGCTTTAGTACATTGGTGATGAAATAATCTACAACAAACCACCATAACACAAGTTTACTTATGTAACAAATGTGCACATGTACCCTGAAACTTAAAAGTTAAATTAAAAAGCAAGTATTTGCAAGTTTTGTAGGTGATAATGGTACCCTGAAATTTAAAAGTTAAATTAATAAGCAAGTATTTGCAAGTTTTATAGGTGATAATGGTCTACTGTTAATAATATACGGTAACTTCTTAAGAGCTCAAAAATAAAAAGGCATATATCTCAATCAAAAATGAAAATTATTCAAATACCCAATTCTCCAAAAAAGCTACAGTCATATCCAAATCACACGAAAAGACACTCAATGCCTTCTGCCATTATGAGGTAGGAGACTGGCAAGTTGTTTTCTAGTCACAATCCTGCTGATCAAAATAAGATCTGGTCCAGACAGCATCTAGTGAAGAAACCGGCAAAAGAAGACAAAGGGATCCCTGGTTGTCCTCACTGCTCACCGGCATGAGACATTCCCTCCAGCGCATGACTGTTTACAAATTCCATGCCAACAACCAGGAATTTACCACCTCTTTCCATGGCAACAACCCAGAAGTTACTGCTCCTGTCCTGGAAAGTTCTGAATCACCTGCCATTAAGTTTCATTGGTTCACCCCTCAACTTCCATGTAATTGAAAGTATTTTACCTTAGTGTAAAGATAGTTGATAAGAGCCCATAGGTTACCAACTGATGCAACGCCTATGAGTTAGCCCTGCTCTTAAAGGAGCAGTACTGTTCAATAAAAGACTGCCATCTATCACCACCGGCTTGCCCTTAAATACTTTCCTGGGCAAAGCCAAGAACTCTGCCAGTTGAAGCCCCAAATTTGGGGCTCATCTGTCCTGCAACAATAGGAGATGGGAAGTCTAAAAAAACATGATATATACTTCAAAAATCTAAAAGGTATATTGCTATGTGAAAAAATACAAGTTGGAAAAGGCAAAATACTGTGTAATTCTACCTGTATGACTCTCTAGAAAAGGAAAAAAGTATAGTGATAGCAAAGAGTCTGGTGGTAACAGGGGGCTTGGGAGAGAGAAAGGTGGAATCAGTGAAATACAGGTTTCTTTGGGGCAGTGAAATTACTCTCTCTGATACTGTATTGGTGGATACATAATAATGTTTTCTGAATCCTGAAGAACTTGATAACACAAAGAGTGTACTAAATTATGCAAACATAAAACCTTATTTAGTAGGTAGAGGGTTTCCAAGGAGGAATGTCCCCAAAAATAATATAACGACATAATGCATGTATGGAATAACCTCACTAAAGAAAGTGGCGGAAAGCAATGGACCTAAGTAACTTGGGTAATAAGTGGACATGCCAAGGCTAAAAGCCACAGTATTTATACCTAAGTGCTGTACTTTACTTGGTAAACTTGTTTCCCATTGGGGTATAAGTTACCTGTTCTGAAACCACTGTGCATGTATGTTCAGGCAGTATGATTAAGAGACCAGCACCAACTTCTTCACAGGGAGAGTAAGAGACTACATACATCATTCATGTGGTGCTGGATTAGATCATATGGTATTGGAAACATTAGCAGAAATTACACAATTATACAGTTAGCCTGGAGCACAATTAAATACAGAGTTAGCCTGAACACCTAGTAGTGGTTAAAGAAAAGAAAATGCTGAACAACAACAAAACCAACCAACCATACAACACTGAACCTTAATTATGTGGGTATTTCAAAAATATACCAGGGACAACTAAAAAACCTTCCAATAGTCAACCATGCAACAATTTGAGCAATCAAATAAATTAGCATATATAAAGTATAAAATTATAAATAATAAATTATATATAAATTAGCATATATAAAGTATAAAATTAATATCCATGTTTAGATGATGATATAAATAATTTATTTATAATTAATTTACCTCAACCTCTGCCTTCCAAGTTCAAGTGATTCTCCTGCCTCAGCCACCCGAATAGCTGGGAGTACAGGCACGTGCACTGTGCCTAGCTAATTTTTCTATTTTTAGAGGTTTGCCATGTTGGCCAGGCTGGTCTCGAACTCCTGACCTCAGGTGATCCACCTGCCTCAGCCTCCCACAGTGCTGGGATTACAGGCATGAGCCATCGTGCTTGGCCCATGACTCCCCACTTCTTAAATGTGTGTTGTGTTAGTGACTTTGTTCTGAAACATTCTATGGGGAAAAGGAAAAATAATAATTTCACAGTGTGTGATAATTTGATAAAAATGACTTCATCTAGGTGATCAAATTAACATTAATAATGATAAAACCTGTTGAGAGCCTGTGTCCTTGGTATGATGTGAGGAGAATGGCACCTTTTCTCTGTCATCTTCCTCTCCCAAACCCACAAATCTAGTCTTATCATGAAAAAAACCTCAGAGAAATCCCACATTAGGAATGTCAATATAATCAAAAACTAGAAAATTCTAAGAAACTGTGACAGTCAGAGAAGTCTAAGGAGACATGATACCCAACCGTGCTGAGGTATCCTGGGTGAGATCCTGGAACAGAAATTAAAGATTAAGTGAAACATAAGAAAATCTGAATCAAGTATGAAGAGTAGTTAATGATAATGTTTAAAATTGGTTAATTCTGACAAATGTCCTACATTAAGAAGTTAATAAAAAGAACAACTGTAGTGGGATATATGGAAAATCTATATACTACATTTAAAACAATTCTGTAAACCCCAAACGATTCTTAAATGTATAAGGCTTCTTTTTATTTAAAGTCACTGCTGACCTTATAAAATAGAACATGAGCAATGTGTTCATGGCCGTTAATGGAACTCCTTAGCTTAATCATCTTCCTTAATCACTTAAGGTCGCCATGACTGTGAAATTATTTGCTACCCTCTAATTTGTGTTTGTTATATTTATCTCTGTTTATATTTCTAACATCCATAATGTTTAGTTCTTCTTGTCTGCAAACTTAGATGACAGGTGTTTAATGTATACATGTTCCTAGTTTAATCATGAGAAATCATGAGACAAATCCATATTGTGGGACATCTTACAAAATACAAAATATCTGACCTGTACATTTGAAAAGGGTCAAGGTCAAGAAAAATAAGTGGAGACTATGAAACTTGCAGACTGGAGAAGATCTAATGTGTCAGTTAGACCCTACAACGGTGCCCAGTGATCCCCACCTGCAAGAAATACCTTTGCTTTGTTGAGTTGCTTCCTCATGTCTCATGTGACCAGCACATGTGAACTCAACTTTTTGCCAACTCGGAGCTCTCCTAGACAGTGGCTACCTTGGTGGGAATGGAGTGGACACAGGTCCGACAAGTGCCAGAAGGGTGTACGACAGTGTAAACAAATATCCTGTGAGAAGGATGCTGCGTCAAAGACTTATGCTTCAGGGTATCCAACAGGATAAATAAGTATCCCACTGAGAGGCACACTTAAACATCCAGGACCCAGTTTCTAGCAGAGTGCTGCTCTCTGAAGACAGAAAATTCGGTTATCTTGAGACTTTTTGCCTTAATTTTAGAAATATAAGCAGAGATTATTCTAAGTTGCTCTCCAAATCTGATTCTTCATCCAGATCAACAACATACTTATCTCTTTCTCCCTCCCCTTTTATCCTTCGTATCCCATGAATGAGGATCATGTGAATCTCACTGTAAGCAGGGAATGGCGATGCATGTGCACTGCGGTTTTCATGGAATGCTCTGCTCTGACCACTTGATACTCTTGTCAGCTCCACTTGTTGATAACTTAGAAAATGAAACAGGCCTTGGTGTTCCCCAAAGAGTGCAGTAAATGAAGAAGAAACTCACATAGTGTATAATTTAGAATATGTTGAGCACATTTGCACTGAGAGTTTCAGCTTCTACTAGGGCTGAATTGAGTGAACAGGAAGCTAATCTAAAGTACAGGAGTCATACACCCTTTATTCAGAATAGAGGGCGGAGACAGCGTTGGGTTCTTGCCTAAGGACATGGTCAGATGATGGGGTGTTTTCAGTGGCATCTTTCTGAGAATTCTGGTGGCCAATCCAGACTCAATACAAATCATATTTTCCACACTATCATAGTAATGTTTGCCAGCTTAGTGCTCAGCACTGTGTCCTCTGTGCCTGGGACATCATGTAAAAGAGTTTCATGTCTATCACTTTTCCAGTCTTAACCCTGAGCACTCAGAGCTCATTGACCCTCTTGCCACCTAGAGATGAGTCTGTCCTTCTACAATCTACTTCTCTCTCCTTCCTGGCCTGCCACTTGGTGATTTTTTTTTTCCTCAAGAATTTAGTCATGGATGATTTTCACAGTACACATCATAATAGACCAGATGTGTGCATTGAAATGAAGAGGAAAATGGGATTGTACAAGTCACTTACTTTATAGAAACTCCTGCTATAATGAATTAAAAAGAGCAAACCTCCATGACTTAAGATCACCAATTTAAATGAAACGGTTCTTTCCTATGGGGTGAACTGTAAGATTAGAGGCGTAAGAAAGTTTACTGAATTATAAATGCCCCAAATAATAGCACCTGAATTACTGCTACAAACTTCTCAGAAGTGAAAAATATGGTCAAGGTCAGCTGTGTCTCTCATTCTAGGTATCCAGGACCCAGGAGCTTGTTTTCTCGCTGAAGCTATGAATATGGTATGGAGAATGTAGCCCATGATCACGGTCTGAAAACACAAGAGTCTTGACTTTGCAGATGTCCTTGGGAGTGTAGTATGCAGTCCCATGGCTTAGTATGCTTTGTGGGTATGGCTTCCGGAACATCCCTGGTGCTCCTCTATAAAGTGGTGTGGCCTGTGAACAGGGAGTTGTGTTGGGGAAGAGGGGACAGTCCCCCCTGCTGTGGGGATCTTTGTTTAGCCAGCACATTTGCAGTCAGCACTCAGCTTGTGTCCATCTCTTAGATCACAGGAAGGTGGGCTGGGGTATGTTGTACTTGCTGTTCGTTCCTTTTTTCTATTAGGCTATTTCCACCTCTGCACAACACACTCTGTATCACTAACATGCCTCACCTTCATACATCTGATGTCTGAAGGTTCATTTCCACATCTTTTTGAGCAGGATTAATCTACAGCTCCATGATTATAAACTTTTTTCGTATCTAGTTAACTTTCTTCCAGAATAATGTCTACTCTGTGGCTTTTGGGCTTGTCACTTGAAATGGTTTCACTGTGTCCCCACCCAAATCTCACCTGAAATTGTAATAATCCCCATGTGTCAAGGGCAGGGCCAGGTAAAGAAAATGGAATCATGGGAACAGTTTTCCCCATACTCTTCTCATGGTAGTAAATAAGTCTCACAAGATTTGATGGTTTTATAAATGGGAGTTCCCCTGCACAAGTTCTCCTGTCTGCCGCTATGTAGGATGTGACTTTGCTCCTCATTCGCCTTCTGCCATGATGGTGAGGCCTCCCCGATCATGTGAAACTGTGAGCCAATTAAACCTCTTTCCTTTATAATATACATTCCCCAGTCTTAGGCATGTCTTTATCAGCATCGTGAGAACAGATTAATGTACCCAAGGACAATATAGATCCATGACATGAGTGTCAAGAAAATGTGTGGTCCCATAAATTCGTGATGGAGTCTGCATGATGAAGAAAACTGAATTATCACAGTGTTTTCTCAAAGGCTTAAGGCATCGTATTCTTTCAAAACTTGGGAAAAAAAGGAATCTGTACTAAGAAAACACGCTTAATCCAGAAATATATATGTTCCCCATCACTGGTGTTTCTCAGTCTTCTCTTCTAATGCCTGGAAGTCATGTCTTCTAAAATGTCTTTATACTGAGATCCTACAAAGACACTGCCAGAAAGTGCCTGCAAACAGGGCCTTCTAACATATGTGAGAAAGGTATCTTTCCTTGGAAAAGTGGTTACGAACACAGGAATTGGTAACTGGATAATGGTGTGATTGGAAGAAGAAAATGGATGAGTGTCCCTGGAGCGTGACGGTGTCTTTCTGAAGCAGGTGCCCTGTGTAGGAATGGGGTATAAGGCAAGCTACTTTGCCATAGTCTCCCTACATCTCCATTCATCCTCTGATCTGTGGCTTTATTGTGGTTTAAATCTGTCTCTGTTATTGTTGTTTTATTTTTTGGTACCTGAATATTACATTTTAAGAATAGCTTTTACCATAGTTTTAGTTTTACAGAAAGTAGTAAAGATAATAGAGTTTCATATATCCTACAGCTTCCTGAAATGTGAACACCTTATATCACCATAGCATATTTATGAAAACTCAGAAATTGACAGTCGTACAAAACTATTAACTGAAATAGATTTTCCTCATATTTTACCAGGGTTTCCACTAATGTCATTTTTCTGTTCAAGGATCTAATCGAAGATACCACATTACATTTACTGTCAGGCATATTACCGATTGGTTGTTGTATAACATATTACTACACAGTTTAGACTTTCAAACCCAGCCCTGCATAGTACTTACAGTTTCTCTGGGTCAGATACCTGGCAGAGAGTTCAAGGGAAGGCTCACCTGGGGAAGGATCCCCTTCCAAGCTCCTAGAATTCTTGTAAGGATTCAATTTCTGTCCAGGTCAAGATGACTTCACTGGTGTGTTATTCAAAGCCTTTCAGCATTAATAACAATCAATAAAATCAGACGAGTAGAGAACCTTTCCCAATGCACTGTATGAAGCCAGTGTTCCCTGACACCACAGCTAGACAAAGACATTTCCAGAAAGGAAAATTACAGACTAATATGAAATAGGTAAAAAGTATCAAGGAAGTACTATCAAAATTAACTAGTAACATATAAAAAGGATTATACACTAGGAGCAAAACTATTTATCCTTGCAATATAAGTTTGGTTAAACATACAAAAACAACTGGTGTTATAAACTATAGTAATAGAATTTTTTTAAAAAGACTCATGGTCACCTCTAAAGATGCAGAATAGGTATTTGACAAATTCCAAACCCATTCATGATAAAAGCTCTGGGAAAGTTAGGCATAGAAGAAAACTTGCCAAACCTACAAACAGCATCCACGGAAAATCACATAACGTAAGGAAAGACATACAGCAACAGAATGGAGTTGAGCACGCCAAAATCCATCTTTATATATAGGCCAAACTTATTTTCAAGGTTGAAAAATTGATTCAAGATGAAAAAATAGTTTCTCAAGAAATGCTGATGGGAGAAAGGGATATCCACATGGAAGTTTAACTCTTTCCTGTACCATATATGTATTTGACTCAAAATAGAATACGTGGCTAGCTGTAAGAGCTAAAACTAAAAATCCCACAGAAGAGAACACAGGAATAGGTTTTCATGGCCTTATGTGAAACAATGGATTCTAACATGTGACACAAAAGTGCAAGTGACAGAAAAAAAAAATAGATGCATTAAACTTCACGTGGATCAATACCTTTTAAGATGCAAAGTGTACCATCAAGACAACTGAAATAATGGAAGAAGATATTCCCAAGTCATATAACTGCTAGAAGACTATTACCCAGAATATAAGAAACGTTCAGGTGTGCACCACCACACCCGGCTAATTTTTGTATTTTTAGTAGAGATGGGGTTTCATCATGTTAGTTAGGCTGGGCTCAAACTCCTGGCCTCAAGTGATCCACCCACCTCAGCTTCCCAATTTGCTGGGATTATAGGCATGAGCCACCGTGCTCAGCCTCATTCTTCTTTATTATTTTCTAAATTTATATTTCTAAATAATATATTGTTCAGGATTTTTGTCTTCAACATTAGATAAATATGTGAATAAATTAATGTTTAATCTTAGTCAAATGATGAAAAAATATAACAAATCCATATTGTGATACATTCTATGGAACACCTGACAAGTTCTTTTCACTAGGATCAAGGTCAAAAAAATAAGTGAGGACCCAGAAACTGATACAGGTTAGACAGGACCTGATGTGGCAGGTAGGTTCTAAGATGCTTCCCAAGGATCCACACCTCTAGATATGCAAAACTCTATGCTAATACCCTCACTGTGAGGTTAAGACATGCCATAACACACGTATACGCAAACACAAAAGGGGCAAAGTGTATGGAACAATGGTTTGTAAGAGAGACTATATCAAACAGGGAAGGACAGTGATACCTGAGACATACCATGCTGTGACATGAGCTCTACCATTGCCTCAAGACACTGCTTTGGGAGATTTTCCAGGCTGTGGTGTGGCATGGACTTTGGAAGACACTGTGAGTTGAGAAGATGGAACTGAGAGTCGAGTACAGATTGGCTGGATCGCATCTAGAATTTCTTCACATCCAGTGGTAAGAACGGGAGACAGCATGGCTGCCATTGTCATCATTACTCACTGAAATACGGTTCGCAGAACTACAGGAGCAATGCAGAAACAAAGGCAGAGACACAAAGATAAGTTACTTGAATGAAGCCTTAATATTGCACAAAGACTGACGCCTTTACATGTTGTACAAAACCAAGGCTTAAAAAATAACCATTTGAGATAAAGTAAATGATGTGTCTAAGTCGAATGAACCAAGTGGACTCAAACATACCTTTACTATACAATTTTCATACATGTGCCTGATAAACTCACTATATTATAAAATAATGAAAGTAGAGCTTTCTATTTATAAGAGCAGAACACAATTGTCAGAAAAAGAAGGATTAAAAATATTTTTACCTCTATTTGTTTCCCTATAAAACCTTAAGTTTCTTTTAAATTTGGAAAATAAGCTGTCACTTTCTTCACTACATAAATTCCACTGCCATTCTAGTTTGCATGGAGTACAGGGCTGCTATTTATATGCAGTGAAATTAATTTAAATTAAGTTGCTATTTATATGCAGTGAAATTAATTTAAATTAAGTTGCTATTTATATGCAGTGAAATTAAGTTAAGTTAAATTGCCAGGCTGCAATATAATAGATGAGGGGTTGTTATTGTTGTTGTTATATCTGTCACTGAAATTCTGTGTGTACAGTATTGAAGCCAAGAGACCCTGAAAGCCACCCTATTTGGAAAATCAAATGCCCATCTACTGATTTGGAGTACTGGTAAAACACCAGTGTTCACGCTCTCTTGGTTGCTCACATCTCATAAATCTTAGACAAATGTCCCCTATGTCCCCAGAATAATTTTAGAGCACTATGTTATTGCCTTACTTGTACAGTAAACATATGTTATTGAGTTTCAGCAACTCATTCTGTGTGAATGCTTCACTCACAAGAGGATGTGTTGTCAACATAGTCATGTTGGCATTAAGGCACTCCTCACTGCAAGCTCTGAATAAATTCTGGTCTGTTTGTGGGAGTCCTATTAAATACTATCTGAAAATGGGGCTTTTTGAGTCACGTGAGTCACAAGCATCTGTCTTTGAAAAAGTGGTTACTGATGCTAAAACTGGTGACTGAAAAATGCGGAATATGATGAAGAAGATGAAAGAGGACGAGTCTCTGGAACTTGGGGAGAATCTTCCTGAAGCAGGTGTACCTATGTTCGAGTTGGTAAATCGATATGGAAAAATGCTTTGCTATTCTCTCTTTACACGCCCTTTCATCTCCTGAGCTGAAGGTATTCTGTTTGTGCTTTGGAATTCTTTTAATATCACTTTTAATATTTTTTTCAAAACTATTTTTCTTTGAAATAATTTTAAATACACAGAAATATGCACAGAAAGCTTTATATATCCTTGAGTTACATGCAATGATGAGCCCTAAAAAACAGTTGGCACAAAACTGTTTATTGAAATATAGGCTTTTTCCATATTTTACTGGGTTTTTAAGTAATGTCATTTTTTCTGCCCAGGATACCACATTGCATTTTCTGTCAGGTGTATTATTTATTGCTGCAAAATAAATTCTCACATACTAAGTGGCTCTTACTCACAGTTTCTCTGTATCATGAATCCAGATGCAGATGATGGCCAAGGATCAGGTCTCAAGTGAAGGTTCAGTTGGGGAAGGATCCCCTTCCAAATTCATGTGATTGTTGTTAGGAGTGAAGGCCCTGTGCTTGTTGAGATGACTTCACTGGTGAACTATTCCAAACCTGAAAATAATTAATAACAATCGATCACAAACTCTTCATAAAAACGTAAACAACAGTACAAGCAGAGATCACTTCCTGATGTATACTATTAGTTGGTTTATACTGATATTACAACAAAAGCAAGACATTTTAAGGAAGAAAAATTAAGATCAATACGTTTTATAAATAAAGTACAACGGTCTTCAATAAGATGCTAGCAATACAAATCAGCAAATGAAAAAGAATTACACACCATCTCCAAGGGTATTTGTCTCAGGAATGCAAATTTGGTTCAACTTACAAAATAATTAGTGTCATGCCCTCTAAGAATAAAATAAAAAACAAAAGTCATATGATCATCTCAAAAGATGCAGAAAAGGCACCTGATAAATCCAAAATCCATTATTGATAACAATATACAACAAATTAAGCCTATAAGGAAAGTTTCTTTATCTTAAAGGGCATCCATGAAAAACTCAGTATCATCATAATTTAATTTAAAGGCTCAATAATAGTATAAACATGGACATACAGATCAAAGAAATATAGTAGAATTGAGCATCCAAAAATTAATCTTTACCTCTATAGTCAAATGATTTTGTAAGGTTGCCAAGCCAATTCAATACGGAAAAATACATTTGTAACAAATGCTGCTAAGACAATTGAATATCCACAAGCAAGTTGAACTTCTCACTCACACCACATACATAATTGGCTCGAAATAATCATATATCCAAATGTAACATCTAAATAGACCTAACCCAGAGTAGATAATATAGAAATACGTAATTTGGGTCTTAGGTTAAACAATAAGTCCTATAATTTCTAAGATATGATACTTAAAGCCCAACAAAAATAAATAAACAGTAATATATTTAACTTTATAAGAATTGAAATCTTCTGGGATTCAAAGTACATCATTAAAAGTAAAAAGATAATGCAAAGAATAGAAGAAAATCTTCACAATCACCTAGAAGGACTAACTGATTTTCAACAAAGCAGACAAAAACATACACTGAGGAATGAACATCCCATTCAATAAAAGGTGCTAGGAAAATAAGATAGACACATGTAGAATAATGAAATTGGATCCTTATCTGTCACCATATAAAAAAAGTAACTCAAGATGGATTAAAGACCTAAATGTGAGACATGAAACCATAAAGATTCTAGAAGAAAAACTAGGAAAAAATCTTCTGGACATTGGTCTAGACAAAGAATATTTGACTAAGACCCCGAAAGCAACTATAACATAAACAAAAACAAATAAATGAGACTTAGCTAAACTGAAAACCACAGCAAAAGAAATAATCGACAGAGTAAAGAAACATCCTATAGAATGGGAGAAAATATTTGGAAACTGTCCATCCAACAAAGGACTAACCCAGAATCTACAAGAAACACAAACGTATCAGCAAGAAAAAAATAAATAATCCTATTAAAAAGTGGGGGGATGACATGAACAGGCAAAAGATATACAAATGGCCAGCAAACATATGAAAAAAAAAATGCTCAACATCACTAGTCATCAGGGAATGCAAATTAAAACCATAATGCGATACCAACCTTAGCCTAGTCAGAAGGACCATTATGAAAAAGTCAATAAATGATTGATATTGGTGTGGATGAGGTGAAAAGGGAATGCTTATACACCCTTGGCAGGAATGTAAATTCGTACAACCTGTATGGTAAACAGCATGGAGATTTCCCAATGAGCTTTTAAAAGCAGAGCTACCATTCAATCTAGCCATCCCACCACTGGGTACGGGTCCAAATGAAAAGAAGTCATTCTATCAGGCGCCACCTCCAGTCTTCCTGGACCCAGCAATTCAGGGGTTTCAGGTTTGGGACAAGTGCAGGGTTCTCCATAAAGGCAGCGTTGTTGGTGGACCCGACCCCTTGCAGCCCCACACGGAGGGAGTGGAGGGGCGCGTTCTGCAGCCTGCTGCACAGGATAAAAGGTAGATTCCACCTGGTGAGTGGAAGGTGCATGTGGCAGCTCTGCTGGGGCTGCGGGAGTACAGGAGAGAGTGGCTGGCTGCCTGGTGCACAAGTGTCTGCGGAGCACAGGCTCAGAAGGCCGGGGCAGAGAGGCACAGGTGCTGGTCGCAGAAACTTTGGTTCAGGGGCTCAACACGCCCGACAGGGATATGGCCCATCACCTGACCTTTAGGAGCACTTTGTGCTCCTCACTCGGCTTCCTGTTACAAATCGTGGCAACATATTTCAGAGGACTTGGGGGAAATTCGCCCTCTTGGCACCATCAGGTCCGTTCTCGGTGCGTTCTGCCGGGGAGGGGAGGAAGTCCCCAAGGATGGTGTGAAGGAGGGGTGTCCTACCTTGGGCTTGGCAGATGGGTGAGCTCCACTTCCCAGCGCCAAAGCCCTTATTGCATCTGCTGCAGACTCCGTCAGCCTGGGCACGGTGATCCAAGAGTTCACCCACGTCAGAAATTCTTTCGGTGTTGCTGCCCAGTGGAAGACCACAGCCTGCCTTCTTCCTGGGCCTGAGTGAAGTGACACGGCCACTGCCAGGGCGGGGGTCCAGGGAAGCCTGTCTCTGTCACTGTGCTCTGCGCCAAATAGGGAGAAATGTTTGTAAGGAGTTGACAACTCCCGAGAAAGCATTTCAGTGGTTACTGGAGGACCTGCACTCTGGAAATGCAGAGAACCCAGGACTGTTGCCAGGATTAACTGGGTGACTAACAAGAGAGGGCAGACAGAGCCTGGCTCATTTCGGTACTCTGCACGGGTTAGTTGCCACCATCAGCTGTGATGGGCACATGTGGTGACTGCTTCAGCAGATGGCAGTGGTCCTCAGGAGTCTGGAGACTGGGAGGTCCCAGATCAATGCACCAGCAGGTTTAGCGTCTGATGACAGCCCACTTCCTGGCTCATGGTCAGCGGGTTTCCCTTGCGCTGGCATCCCTCTCACTCCTAGGCTAGGTTCCTTCTGCAACCAATCATTAGCTGCCAACCCCTAAAGGCCGGACAATAGATTTGCAAATTACAACCTGGCACATCCAGGGTAGTAGGAGGAGAAAGAGCAACTTTTTGTCTTGGCAGCCAAGCTTCACCGTTGGGTGGCACCAATGTGCATTTCAGGTTTTTATGGTTCCTTGTGTGAGGTTATTGTAGCTGACTCCCAGGGTATCCTAATCTAAGAAGCAGTGAGTAAGCAGGGAGTTAGAAGCAGTGAGTATGAACTTTGCTAACTGGAAGGACTGGCTGTCCCCTCCCCTTACCTCCCAGTCTCTCTCCCTTGGATTGCCATGTACAAGATAGCGCCACCTAAAATAACTGAAGGCACTTCAGTTCTGTGTTGCTTTTCCCTGCAAAACAGGGGTAAGATCTTAAAAAGATCCATGAAGCTTGTCTTTGTGGCATGGATCGAGGTACATATCCTTCCTTGAGGTGTGTTAGTTTCATCCTGTAGTACTCAGAGTTGTCTCCATAGTGCCAGGGAGGGAGGAAGTGCCAACCCCCTGTGCTCAGCCAGGATTGCCCTGGCCTGGCCACACCTTCTCACGCTTCCACAGACCTAAGAGGGACTAAGAGCTAGGATCAAAATGTTCCTGTCACAGACGCCCTGCTTCCTGAAAGGAGATCCAGAGGAAAAAAGAAAAGGTGTTGGGAGCTTTTTTTTTTCCCCCAGGCCACATCCTTTGGGGGTTGGGGTGGGGCAAAATAAACATATGGTCAAGAAGGTAGTCTATGCTGAAAATGACATATAGCGTAACCACCCAATGGGTTAACCATGCCTGCTGCCTAGAAAGAGGTGATGTATCAAGACAGGAGAATTGCAATAGAGAAAGGGTAATTCACGGAGAGCCAGCTGTGCAGGAGACTGGAGGAGTTTTATTATTACTCAAATTAGTCTCCCAGGACATTCAGGGATCAGTGTTTCTAAGGATAATGTGGTGGGTGGGGGAAGGTCAGTGAGTTGGGAGCTCTGACTGCTCAGATCAGAGATGGAATCACAGGGAGTCCAAGCTGTCCTCTTATGCTAAGTCAGTTCCTGGGTGGGGGCCACAAGATCCGATCAGGCAGTTTATCCACCAGGGTGGTGCCAGCTGATCCATCCAGTGCAGGGTCTGCAAAATATCTCAAGCACTGATCCTTGGAGCAGTTTAGGGACCGTCAGAATCTTGTAGCCTCCAGCTGCTGACTCCTAAACCATAATTTCTAATCATGTGGCTAATTTGTTAGTCCTACAAAGGCAGTCTAGTCCCCAGGCAAGAAAGAGGTTTGAGAAAGGGCTGTTATTGTCTTTGTTTTAAACTATGAAGTAAGTTTCTCCCAAAGTTAGTTTAGCTTATGCCCAGGAAGGAACAAGGGCTGCTTAAAAGGTTAGAAGCAAGACAGAGTCGGTTGGATCTCTTTCACGGTCTCAGCCATAATTTTGCAAAGGCAGTTTCAGCCAGGTGCAGAGGCTCACATCTGTTAATTCCAGTACTTTGGGAGGCAGAGGCAGGTGGCTCACTTGAGGCCAGGAGTTCCAGAGCAGCCTGGCCAACAAGGCAAAACCCCATCTCTACTAAAAATACAAAAATTAGCCAAGTGTGTCACACCTGCAGTCCCAGCTTCTCCAGCAACTGAGGCATAAGGATTCCTTGAAACCGGGAGGCAGAGGTTGCAGTGAGATGAGATTGGGCCACTGCACTTCAGCCTGTAGGACAAAGCGAGTCTCTCTCTCTCTCTCTCTCTCTCTCTCTCTCTCTCTCTCTCACACACACACACACACACACACACACACACAAACACACAGACACAGTCATTCTATCAAAAAAACACTTGCACTTATAGGTTTATCACAGCACAATTCACAATTGCAAAAATATGAAATCAATCTAAGTGCTCATCAACCAATTAGTGGATAAAGAAAATGTGCTCTGTGTGTGTGTGTGTGTGTGTGTGTGTGTGTGTATGTATGTATGCATATTACAGAATACTACTCAACCATAGAAAAGAACAAAATAATATTTTTCAAAGCAATTTGGCCATTATCATAAGTGAAGTAACTCAGGAACAGAAAACCAAATGCTGCATGTTCTCACTTATAAGTCTGGGGTAAGCAATGGATTTGCAGGAGCATGCAGAGGGGGATCACGGACATTAAAGATTCAGAAAGGAGGAGGGTTGGAGGCGAGTGAGGGATAAAAAAATACCTATGAGGTAAAATATACACTATTCGGGTGATAGGTACACTAAAAGCTCCAGACTTCACCACCATACAATTCATGCATGTAACCAAAAACTACATGTAATCCCAAACCTATTGAAATTTTTAAAAAATTATTTCAAAAAGAAAAAGCAGTGGTGTATGATTCTCCCAGTATTCAGTGTATGTTGTATATAGTTACTTTTTTTATACACACAACATGAAAAGGGAGAAAAAGAATAATTTTACAGAAGAGATTTTTAGAACTAAAAGATTTTTATCCAGGTGATCAAATTAACATCAACAGTGATAAAGCCTATTGACAGCTTGTGCCCTGGATATTATGTGATAGGAATGATACTTTTCATCTGTATTCTTCCTGCCTTAAACCCAGAAGTCCAGTCTCATCATGAGAGAAACATCAGAGAAATCCCAAATTAGAAATGTCAATGGCGTCAAAAACAAGGAAACTCTGAGAACCAATCACATTCAGTGAAGCCTATAAAGCTATAATATCTAAATGTGATGATATATCCTGGAAGAGATCCTAAAACATAAACTTAACATTGAGCAAAAACTAAAAAATCAGAATAAAGTTTATATAGTACTCAATGATAATACATGATATTGGTTGGTTAATTTTGACAAATGTTCCACACTATGAGATTAATAATAAAGGACACTGTGCATGGAGTATATGGAAACTCTCTACTAGATCTGCAACTATTCTGTAAATCTAAAACCATAAGACCATTTTGTTTTGTTTTGTTTTGTTTGTGACAGAGTCTGCCTCTGTTGCCCAGGCTGGAGTGCAGTGGCGTGATCTTGGCTTACTGCAACCTTTCACCTCCTGGAGTCAAGCACTTCTCCTGTCTCAGCCTCCCAAGTAGCTGGGATTACAATCGTCCACCACCATGCATGGCTAATTTTTTTGTATTTTTACTAGAGACAGGGTTTTGCCATATTTGTCAGGTTCGTCTCGAACTCCTGACCTCAGGCAGATCTGCCCGCCTCAGTCTCCTAAAGTGCTGGGATTACAGGCGTTAACCACCATGCCCAGCCTTGTAAAACCATCCTTTAAAACTTTTTTTTTGTAATGTCACTCCCAAGCTTAAAAAAAAAAAAAATCATTAGCAATATTGTTGATACCTCCTTTGTGCATCTCCTTAATTTCTCAGTTTTCCTTAAGTACTGAACTTAACTATATTGTGAATTGTCATTCCATACTTTAAAAATAGTTTTTCCTCTTTGAGTATTTCTGAATACTATATTCTTTATGTCTTTTTTGTCTTCAGATTTAATTGAAGGTGTTTAATTCATTGATACTCCTAGTTTAATCATGAGAAAACTAACTAAAACCATAACGTGGGACATCCTATTAAATACCTGATGGGTCCTTTTCAAAAGGGTCAAGGTCATGAAAAAGAAGTGAAGGCCAGGAAACTGTTTCATATAGGAGAATACCTGAAGTGTCAAGCAGACTCTAAGTTGGTGCCCACTTATCCCCACCTTTTCATATACACAACCTTCTACTGTAATCCCATCCAAGTGAGTCCAAGCAGGAATTGTGAATTGGTTTGAAACAGCAGAATAGTGCAAAGGTATAGAAGTGTGACTTGGATTCTTATATATGATTATGATTTTGGTCTTGCTAGAAATGTCTCTCTCGACGGATTTTATGAAGCCATGTGACAGAACCCTCCTTGGAAAGGCACTTTATTTAGCCAATGGCCAACAGCCAGGAAGGTAAGAGGCCTTCTGTACAATAGACTATTCTATAGCTGCAAATATTATATTTAAAAGTAACCATGCTGCCCAAAGAAGTTTACAGATTAAATGCCATTCCTACCAAACTACTAATGACATTCTTCACAGAACTAGAAAAAAAAACTGTGTTAAAATTCATATGGAAACAAAAAAGAGCCCCAATAGCCAAGGCAATCCTAAACAAAAAGAACAAAGCTGGAGGCATCATGTTACCTGACTTCAAACTATACTGCAGGGATAAAGTAACCAAACAGCATGGTACTAGTACAACAGCAGGCACATAGACCAGTTGAACAGAATAGAGGGCCTAGAAATAAGGCCACACACCTATGACCATCTGATCTTTGACAAAGCTGACAAAAACAAACAATGGGGAAAAGACTCTCTATTCAATAAATGGTGCTGAGAGAACTGGCTAGCCATATGCAGAAGATTGAAACTGGACCCCTTCCTTACACCATATACAAAAATTAACTCAAGATGGATTAAAGACAAATGTAAAACCCTAAATTATAAAAACCCTGGAAGACAACCTAGGCAATACCATCCTGAATATAGGAATGGGCAAAGATTTCATAACAAAAACTCTGAAAGCAATCACAACAAAAGCAAGAATTGGCAAATGGGATCTGATTAAACTTAAGAGCGCTGCACAGCAAAAGAAACTATCATTAGAGTGAACAAACTACAGAATGGGAGAAAATATTTGCAAACTATGCATCTGATGAAAGTATAATATCCAGCATCTATAAAAAACTTAAACAAATTTTATAAGAGAAAAACAAACAACCCAATTAAAAAGTAGGCAAAGGATAAGAAGAGACAATTTTCAAAACAGGACATACATGCAGCCAACAAGCATATGAATAAAAGCTCAGTATCACTAAGAAATGCAAATCAAAACCACAATGAGACACCATCACACACCAGTCAGAATGGCTATTATTAAAAAGTCAAAATAACAGATGCTGGAGAGGTTGCAGATAAAAAGGATCACTTACACACCACTGGTAGGAGTGTAAGTTCATTCAACCATTGTGGAAAGCAATATGTCAATTCCTCAAAGAGCTAAAATCAGAACTACCATTCAACTCAGCAATCCCATTACAGGGTATACACCCAGAGGAATATAAACCATGCTTCCAAAAAGACACATCCACATGAATGTTCACTGGAGCATTACTTACAAGAAAAAAGACATGGAATCAACTTTAATGCCCATCAATGACATGCTGGATAAAGAAAATGTGGCACATATACATCATGGAATACTATGTAACCGAAAAAAAAAAGAATGAGATCATGTCTTTTACAGGAACATGAATGGAGCTAGAAGTTATTACCTTAGCAAACTAACACAGGAGTAGAATACCAAATTATCACATATTCTCACTTTTGGGTGGGAGCTAAATGATGAGAACTCATGAACACAAAGAAAGGAACAAATGACACTGGGGCCTACTTGTAGGTGAAGGGTAGGAGGAGGGAGAGGAGCAGAAAAAATAAATATTGGATAGTAGGCTTAGTACCTGGGTGATAAAATGATCTATAAAATAAACCTCCGTTACACAAGTTTACCTACATAACAAAACTATACATGTATCCACAAAAAAATCAAAATTATATAAAAACTATGAAAAAATAAAATAATACTAAAAAATATAAAACAATACGAAACTAAGCTACTTTTCTAATAAAGTTATATTGCTTCACAGTTACTGTATCTTGTAATAACAAATAATCCTAATTCCTTTCTCCTGTCCTTTGCATTATTGCTGATACTCACTTCATACATATGTGTATATATATACACACACATACAGACATGCACATGTGCATATATCTGTACACATATATACTTCTATATGAGATATATACATAAGCATATATTATTTAATAATTTTTTTCTATTATTTTCAAGAAATTTTCTTTTATAACAAACTAAGAATATAAAAATGTTAAACCAATAAAAATAAAAATTATATATAACTGATATTTTTAGAAATGCAAGAGAGAAAAATATAAAATGCTCAATGAGAACCACAAAAGGCAGAAAATGAATGGAAGATAAAAATAGGAAGAAGGAACAAGGGCAACAAATAGAAAACATTCAGAAATATGATAAATATTAATCTGACTGTGTCAGTTACCACTTTGAATGTCAATGGTCTAACTGCACCAAGTAAAAACACAGATTGACAAAGTGAATCAAAAAACAAGACACAACTGTGTTATTTATAAGCCCAACCTAAATACAAAGACAAATAAAAGTCAATGAATGGAACAAAACGTACGATGCTAACTCTAATCAAGGTAAACAAGAGGAGCTATATGAATTACAGGTGGAGCAGACTTCAAAGCAAGAAAAGTTATCAGGAATAAAGAAGGGCATTACACAGAGATGAAGAGCCACTCTTCCAATAAGATGTCATAATTCTTAAAACCTATGAGCCTGACAACAGAGTGTAAACTATGAGGCAGAAATCAACAGAACCACAAGGAAAAAGATGAATTCAGTATTATGATTGGAAACATTAACACCCTATATCAGATACAGGCAGATCTAGCAGGCAGTAATTTAGGGGGGAAAAGCTGAACTCAACAGCACCAACAAGCAACTGGGCATTACTGACACCTACAGTCTCCTTCCCTCAGCTACTGCAGATGACACATTCTTCTTAAGCTCACATGGAATATTCAGCAAAATGTGCCACATTCTGGGACACAAAATACCCTAACAATTTTTAAAAAGTAAATCATACAATGTCAGCTCTAAGACCACAGTGGAATTAAAATAGAAATCAAAGGATAACTGGAATGATAACTGGAATATCCCCAAATGCATTGAGATTAAACAACACACTTCCATATAATATATGGAGCAAAGAAGATATCTCCAGAGAAATCTTTTTTTAAAATTAACTAAATGAAAAATAAAAACACAATTTATCAAAATTTGTAGAATGAAAGGAAACCAGAACATACAGGCAAATAAATACCATTGAACACATACATAGGAAACGATGAAAAGACCAAAAATCTGTCATCTGTGTTTCCACCTTTGGAACCTAGAAAAAGAAGAATATATTAAATCTAAAGTCAGTAAAACAAAAGTTATAACGTTGTTCACACAGTAAAACAAAGGAAAAGTTAAAGCAACTGAATTTTTCAAACACATATTCAAACCCATAGTTCTCAGAACACAGAAGCATCCAAAATTAACAGGGCACACAAAGCACCCCAAACACCGTTCCTTGCTTACCTGCATGCAGCCACGACCCTCTCAGAAACGGGGACCCCGCGCTTCAGAAATGCTCAGTCTCGGGCTACTGAGGCCAGGCAGTACCGTTTGCTCCGAAGTCATGCCGTACATTTTAGAAAAGCGAAATAACAGGTGTTTAGTGGTCTCGCCATGAAGTATTAGTTAGCTGGTGATTTGATGCACCTGTGAATTAGCTTGACTGAATCTTCCCCAATGAATACAAGAATCAAAATATCACCCTGTTATCCATAAATATACGCAATATGTCAACTAAAACTAAATGCTTCCGTAAATTCTTTATCTATGAATAATTCACAAATAGGAAACGTAAAAGTAATAACTGTTACGTCCATAATATAAAAGGGCATATGTGACAAAATGAAAGCAGTTTAAATGTACCTTACGGTCTGGGAAACCGGAGAAATCCTGAGGTTTAAAGAAGGGACGACGACACAGGCAGGCAGCGCCGCAGGAACAAGCGCGCCTTCCGGCAGAAGCGACCCTGAAAGCTCAGCGCGGACCGCGCAGACAGCCCCTTAGTTCCCCTGTAGATCTCACCGCCCTCTCTCCCCCATCAGCCTCGCCCTCCGATCGCCGCCCTCCACCCTCCTCCTCACGCCTCAGCCCGCTCCCGGCCTCACGCCCTCAGCCTCGCCCTCCCCCGCGGCCCTCACGCCCCAGTCAGCCTCGCCCTCCCCCCGCGGCCCTCACGCCCGTCAGCCTCGCCTCCCCCCGCGGCCCTCACGCCCCGTCAGCCTCGCCTCCCCCCGCGGCCCTCACGCCCCGTCAGCCTCGCCCTCCCCCCGCGGCCCTCACGCCCCGTCAGCCTCGCCCTCCCCCCGCGGCCCTCACGCCCCGTCAGCCTCGCCCTCCCCGCGCGGCCCTCACGCCCCGTCAGCCTCGCCCTCCCCGCGCGGCCCTCACGCCCCCTGTGGGACTGGCTCCCGCCCCAAGCCCAGCCTGCGCGGCAGCCTCGGGCGCCCTTACTGCGCAGCTGCGACCCCCGCGCCCGCACGTCGCTTCGGGCGGCTCCCGGCCTCACCTGCGTGGGCGCCAGGTGGCGAGGAACCGGCAGTCTGAGTTTCTGGTCCATGGATTCCACCTACTCCTGCAAAAGGACTGAGGGGACAGAAACCTGCACTGGCGGGGCAGTGAGGGTCTGAACGACGGAGAAAAGGCGGCGAGCAAGGACAGCTCCATAAGCCCTGCAGTCAGGCCTCCGAGGTCCTCTTTGCCCTTCTCCACCATCGTTTCTCCCAAACCCACGCCCCCTGGCCGAGCCCAGCAGCCTCCTCCGGGGACAGGGCCCGCTCACTCCTCAGCGTCCCCCGCACAGGCTGAGCTCATGGGCTGGGGTAACATCTCAGGGAACCAAACCCAGACATTCGAATCCCTCCCCGCAGAGTGCAGTCCTCGGGGAGCGGCCCTCCCTGCCTCCCCTGCCCAGTCCCTCCGTGGTCTGCCCTTCCTGCTCCTGCGTCCTCACCAGTTACTCAAACCAGCGGTCCTTCTAATGCACCGCCCTCTTCTCATGGCCTGGCCTGTGCCGGGCACACACGTTTTCCTCCTCCCTTTCCCTCCCGTCTCCTGGACCCACTGCCCCTCACTCTCCAGCATCTCCTCCAATGTTCCTCTCCTGGAGGCTTCCCTTGTCCGTCCCATCCCAGGCCTGAAACCTATCCTCTCAGTTCCCAAGGGCAGCTCTTCCACCTTAAAGTTTAATTTTTGTCAAGTTTTCTGAAACCCTATTGGACAGAAGCATCACAGAACATGGCAACTTTATCTGTGGTGTCTCTGAGCCCCACACATGTACTGGACAAAAAGCAACTCTGAAAGTTCTCTGGTAATCTTTAAAAGTATAAATCATTTTTAAAAGATTATTATCTGAGAAAAGAAAATAAATTTAAGTTCCCGCTTCTTTTCTACAGACTATAATCGGAAAACATTTGATGTGCGGAGTTGTATGCACAAATTTTCGGAGTGGCTTTTTTCTTTTTGTAAACTGAAGAAGCAATTTTGGCATTTACTCATCAAAGAGTAAGAGAAGAATACACACCTGTATTATGAGCCATCAGTAGAAGGAAATGTCTTGCAGACGTTTACAAATACTATGTAGAAGGAATCAGAGATTCAAACCAGTATCTATAAATTTCAGGTAAAAGAAAAACAATATGCTGAAGTTTATTCGTGCATATTAACAAAATAACTACTCTTTGTGTGCTGGGAGTCTTGGTGTTCTGTCTATTCAAATTAATGCTTTTGAACCTTGCAAATTACAACAAACTAAGCCAGATACAAAACCCTTTTTAAGTAGGAGTCTCTAGCAAATTTTGTCTTGTGGTTCCTAGCAAACTTTCTGCACCTCTTCATCTAGAAGTATTTCAGAGGAAATTTCTGGAAAACAATTATAGAGAATGGGTGATATTTCCATTAATTTAATAGTGATAAAATATAAAAATAATTGAAAGATTTTGAAAAATGATTATGAGTAATTAAACAAAAGGCATTAATACACAATACAAAAATTTAAATTTGGTCATACATGATGTTTATGTGATGATAAAAAAGTACGTTTACACAGAAAGTGTCAAAGGCCTTTATATACCAAAACAAACACTGTTTCATTGGGTCAAAACACTGTGTCATTTGTTTTCAGGCAGTAAACAGAATGATTCTTTGACACACTCAGTCTTTCCAATAACCGAATTCCCCAACCAACACCAGACGTAGAGCAAGAGTTGGTGTTTCACACGAAGACACCACAGAGGCAGGCTCAACTCCTGCCTCTACTTAGGCACTGTCTTGGATAGGCGTGGTCTGGAGGAGATAAACCTTGTCTAGGGAGTTGTATGCAGGAAGCACCCAGGGATGTTCGTTTTGTAAAAATAGAGAAGTATAAATTTGGTTGTAGATGATGGCTATGTGACCAAGAAAAGAGTGTTTTCGTTGTGTTTAACAAGTGTTAAACACATTTGTAGACAAAACCAAAAACCAAGATATAAAATTACAGTGCCAGGACTGAAGGGGAAATGTGCCATTGGTCAGAAAAAAGAACGATTATTTAACAAATTCATGCTTATACAAAATAACTGAATTCCCCACCCGAGCCAACAGGGAGCTCCTCCGCTTGTGCATGCAGACCCCACAAGAGGTTCGGAGCTCAGAGGCTCCCTGCTGGTCCTGTCTTTCATGTGCATGGTCTGGAGGAGGAGACCCATGTCCACAGCATCATCTAGAGCAAGGCAGGAGGCACCTGGGGCTGCCTCTCCAGGTTTTCCCACCACTTGCTGTTGTTGAAGGTATGAAAGACATAAACTGAAGGGGGGTGTTCAGGGATCTTAGGAAATTAACAAAGACATTACAGACATAAAAGACAACAATGATATTCTAAAACTCTAAAGCCACTGATTCATTCTAAGTCCAGCTGAGAGTACTGGTGTTTAGGTGAAAGGTAGGAAGATTTTTAATCTTCTTTCACTTCGTTATGGAAAAGCACAGTCATTGAGAATAGTCACAAAATTATTGTATTATATGAAGTCTGTTAGCAACTAAGAACGTGTTGCATTTGCAGAGACAGAGGAATAAGGCAATGAAAAAAGAAAACAGAAATACAGACGTGTATATGTGAACAAATCATTTGTAAGTCAATAAATGGGGACAGATCAGTTTTTCTAAAACTATTCAAAAAAACCTGAATATTCACAAGGGAATTAAAATCTGACCTTTAACTTCATTTTACATACAAAATCAGGTGGATCAGTGTGTTTAACTGAAGCAGGTGCACCTGGGTTCAGAATGGTGGCTAAATAAGGAAAGCTGTGCTACTGTTCTTTCCCTACTTGCCCACCCCATCTCCTGAAACCAATATTAGTACAGTATGTAGAACATATAAGAAAATATCTTTGGGACTATGTGGTAGGGTAAGATACCTGAAACTAGACCTAGAAAGCACTTATCATATAAGAAAATATTCTACAGATTCTACATAGTTGATATGAGCAACGACTTTGGAGACAGACTGAGTCAAACTCAAAGCTCTTTTAATTCTTTCATGTAGTGCTTAGGGTCAGATTCAGAACTGCCCCGTGGCAGTGGTAGCAGTGCTCATCTCTTGAGATGTCAGGTGGGTTTGTATAAAATAATATATAAAGCATGGAGTGTAATATCAGGTCTATACATATCATTAAGACTAATTTTTATAATAGTGAGATTTATCTTTTAGATTTATATATCAGAATGAAATAATAAAACTGTTAATAAATAATGGAGCAAATATTTCTAATGACAGTTTTGTAATTATTTTAAAAACTTTTCTCGACTAATACATTTATATTTGTCTTATATCATTCTTATGATTACACGAGACAGAACAAATATGCAAAATACATTTACAAAGGTATTCCTAACACTTATTTCATTGAGAACAAACTCTCTGAATCACTTTCAACTCATCTTGTCCATGATTTTCCCCACAATATCATCATCTGTGCTAATCACAAGCATCGATAGTGCTGCATTTCTCATGGGACTCCTGTGCTACTCTATGTAAGTTTATCTTTCCAGTCTCCTGACACCCCCTCTGTAAGTTTTGATGCTTGATGTAATTACCCAAAGATGTCTTTGGGGAGGTTTAGACCACGTGTGCCCAAGGGACAACCATATCATGACTGCTTTCTGGCAATAATGTTATAATTATAACCCTTTCAAATAGAAGATGTATCTCTCTTTAAAAGATGTTAAAATGTGTACCAAATAATTGTTTACACACGTTTCCTCTGTGACTGCTCACTTATCAGTGTTAAATCATGGTGGCTGAGGCAGGAGAATCACTTGAACCCTGGGGGTGGAGGTTGCAGTGAGCCGAGATTGCACCACTTCACTCCAGCCAGGGCGAAACAGTGAACTCCATCTCAAAAAAAAAAAAAAATCATGGTGGCTAATCTGCTATATTTTAGTCAGTTATTAAGTAAACATCCTTGTATATATTTTTACATTAATTTACCAACTCTATCTACATTCTACCTCATTATCAGAGATATTAGACTTAGTGAAGTGCTGTAATTGTTTTATAAACTATGGTTCAATAAATCTATTGATGAGGAACATATAAATTGTAGAGAGACACCTGAAATTTTTCCTGAAGCGTCAGTTTTCTAAAGACTAAGGAAAATCTATATTTAAAAAATTTGTCCTAAAATTAGAAATACAAGCAATGATCCCCCCTGCAAGCTGTATTACAAATTCGATTCTTTAATCTATAACATTCTTGACCTCTGTTCTTCTTCATTCTCATTCACCCTTTTAATCACATAAATGGTGATAACACATAGTCACCGTAGAAGCAGATGCATTGTGATCCTCATAAAATGCTTCGTTCCGCCCCCTTGCCACTCTGGCAAACTCTGCTTTTGGTCACTTGGATAATGAAATTAGTTTTCCTATTTCCTTGGGAAAATACTAAGTGAAGAAGAAACTCATACAATTCATAATTTAGGACTTTGACTGAAATTTCACCTATAGTTTTAGACTCCTGCAAGGTTGAATTGCATGAACATGAAGTAATGATGTTAAATATATGAGCCATTCATCCATTGAACTACAACTCCTAATCAGGCTAGAGTGTGGAGACAGTATGTTGGAGCATTTGTCTTATATTGCTATCTAACACTTGGGTTTCTTTGCAATGACATCTTTTTTTAGAATTGTGGTGGCCTTTGTGAATTTAGTGGCTTAGTATATTGTGGGAAATCATGCCTTCCATGCTATTAAAGCACTTGTTTGGGCACTCAGTGCTCAGCACTCTGTCCTTTGCGTCCGTGACAATGTGGCAGTACAGTTTTGTGTATATTGCCTGTTTTCCTTTAAACTTGAGAACTCAGAGCTCAATTATTGTGACCACCATGCAGTAGTCCTCATAACTCATGTCCAGGTCTAACCGTGGCTCATGTCTGTCACTCCGGCCATTTTTGGGTCCATTTATTGGTGGGCAGAATATTCACAGTACGCATCATAATATATCAAAAAGTATGCATTAAAATAAAGATAAAAAGGAGATCTGTCATTTAAGTATTGTACTACAATATCTTCAGTTAAAATTTTAAAAAATGGAATAAGCCTCCTTTAAGATGTCAAATTTAAAAGAGGAGTCGGGTCTTAAAGAGTAAACTACATGGAACTTGGAAGACTTGGAAGGTTTCTTAAAGTACAGATGCTCAAATAACAGCACGTAAATCACTGCTATGCTGATATCAGAAGTGAAAAATGTGGTCGAGGTCAGTCATATCTCTAACTCTAGGTCTCCAGGCTGCAAGATCTCATTTTCTCATATAAACTATCAACGTGCTATAGAGAATATACCCCATGTTTATGGGCCATCATAAAGGCTTTGTCTATGTCTGTGAGTATAGCATGCAGACTCCCGACTTGGTAGGCTTTGGAGGCATGGTTCTTTGGCACAACCCTGGTGTTAACACGGCAGAGTGCTGTAAAATATGAACAGGGACCTATGTGGGGGATAGCTGGACAGTTCTTCCTGCTGTGAGATTCTTTGTTTAGCTATAACATGTGCAGAGTCACCATGTAGCCTGGGTCCACCTCTTAGATCACTGTATGGTAGGGGGAGATCTGTTACATACTGCTTTTTCTTTTATCTACTGAGCTTTCTCCAGCCACACACAGCATATACTGAATCACTCACATGACTTCACCTGCCAAAAACCAGTTGTCTACAGATTCATATCCAGGTCTTAGTTAGCAAGCATTGTCATAAACCACCATATTTAGAAGCATTCTTTGTGTGTCCTACTCACCTGCTGCCATGATGACATTTATTCTGTGGCTTTTGACCTTGGAAATGAACAATATAATTCCAAGATGTGAATAGCAACAGAATATACAGTTCCAAATAATTCTTGACGAGAAAAATAGAAATTATCACAGTGATTCAATAATCACTTGAAGAACAAATCCCTGTACCAAGGGAAATAAAACACTCTCCTGATTGTAAAAATACAATTTGTGTTCCCTGTCACTAACATTTTGCAATATCGGCTTCTAATGTGCAGCAGTCATTTTTTCCAGAAAGGCTTTGGTGGAATTAGGTGGATAAACTGCCAGACAATGTCTGAAAATGGGGCATCCTGGGATATATGAGGAACAGGCACCTCTCTCTGAAGAAGTGGTTACTGACACTTAAAATGTTGCTGGATAATGAGAGCATGATTTCAAAGACAAAAATGGATGAGAGTCCCTGGAGCTAACTGTGTGTAACTGAAGCAGGTGCACCTGGGTTCGGAATGGTGGCTAAATAAGGAAAGCTGCGCTGCTATTCTTTCCCCACTTGCCCACCCCATCTCCTGAAACCGAGCTAATGTGCTTGCGTCTTTTTGTTGTTTTCTGCTTTGCACCAAAATATTATTTTAAAATTATTTTGAAATCATATTTGACTTACAGAAGGATGTATATATAGTGCAGAGAGTTTCATATACCTTTCAGCTAAAAGGAATGTTTACACATTATATAACCATAGCCTATTCATGAAAACTGAGAAATTGACAGTGATATAAAATTATCAATGGAACTACAGACTTTCTTCATAGTTTTCTTCAGGTTTCCAATAATGTCACTTTTATGCTCCAGTATCTAATCTAGGATATCACATTACATTTAATGCCAGGTGTATTACTTAGTTATTGTTGTATAACAAATTCCCACATAGCTTAGTGGCTGAAAAGCACATACACATTACTCACAGTTTCTCTTGGTCAGGAATCTAGATGTAGATGGCGGCCAAGGCTGAAGTCTCCCCTGAAGGCTGAGCTGGGGAAGGATCCTCCCCAGGCTCACATGATTGTTGTTAGGATTTAATTTCGGTTCCATGTTAAGATGACTTCACTAGGAAATTATTTCATACCTTTAAAGAATTAATACAAATGCATTATGAATTCTCTAAAAACATTGAACAGCAGCAATGACAGTGGTTAGGAGATCACTTCCCAATGCACACTATGAGCTACTTTATCCTCGTACCACAATTAGACCAAAACATTTCAAGAAAGGAAAATTAAGACCAATATCCCTTATTAATATAGAGGCAAAAATCCTTAAGGAAATAATAGCAAAACAAATCAGCAACATGAAAAAAGTATTATACACTATGGCTAAGGGTATTTCCTCAGGAATGCAAATTTTGTTCAACATACAGTTCATGCATTGTATTAATGGAATAAAGCACAGAACCTACACGATCATCTCAAAGATACAGAATAAGCACTTGACAAATCAAAAATACATTCATGATAAAGATATGCAGCAAATTAGGACTATAAGGAAACTGTCTTCACTTTAAAGCATCCAAAAAAAAAAAAAAAATCCCCTCATGTGATATAAAAGTTTTCTGAAAGGTTCAATACTTTCTCCAAGATTAGAAATAAGACAAGGAATTTCATTCTGGCCACATTTTTTCCCCACATTATGCTAGAGGATGTAGCAAGGACAATTAGTCTAGAAAAATGAATGTAAGACATCTAGTATAAAAGAAAGTAAAACTCTGCTGGCAATTGACATGATTTGTGTATTGAACATCAAAATGACTCTCATAAAATAGAATGCAAATTAAAATGTAAGTTCAGTACAGTTCCAGTACACAAGGTCAATATATAGAAATATGTACTTCTATATACTAGAAATTAACAAACTAAACAAAAAACTCAGAAACCCATGCTATTTAAAATAGCATCAAAAAGGAAAAATACGTAAGAATAAATTTAACAAAATAAGCATATGACATGTATATTGAAAACTGAAAATACATTAAATGTAATTAATACAATTTTATAAAAATGGACAAATATTGAATGATCATTGATTAAAAGGCTTGATATTAAGTTGACAATACTTTTTATATGGCTCTATAGATTTAATGCAATTTCCATAAAAATCCCAGGTGACCTTTTTTTCACTAACTTGTCAAACAGATTTTAAATTGTATATATAATGTAACAGAGAAGAGTTAAAATAATTTTGAAAAAAAACAGAATTTGTATAATGGACTCACACTTACTGATTTTAAAATTAAAGACAAAGCCATACTAATTAGAATGTGTGGTGCTAGTAGAAAAGTAGACATACAGATAAATACTATAAAATTGAGTATCAAAAAGTTAACCTTTACATTTACGGTCAAATAATTATACAACAGCTCCAAGTAAATTCAATAAGGAAAAGTATTTTTTCATCAATGGATTCTGTGACAAGTCAACATCAACAGGCAAGTTAAACTCCTCCCTCACAGTATATGTATAAATAGTTCAAATTAGCCACTGATATTGTTTGGACTTGTGTCCCTGCCCAAATCTCATGCCACATTGTAATCCCCAATGTTAGAGGAGGGGCCTGGTTGGAGGTGATTGGATAATGAGGGAAGATTTCCCATTGCTGTTCTCATGACAGTAAGTGAATTTTCATGAGATATGGTTATTTAAAAGTGTGTAGGACCTCATTCTTCTTTCTCTTCCTCCTTCTCAGGCCAAAAAAGATGTGCCTGCTTTCCCTTCTCCTTCTGCCATGATTGTAAGTTTCCAGAAGCCTTCCCAGCCATGTTTCCTCTACAGCCTGCAAAACTATGAGTCAATTAAACCTCTTTGCTTTGTAAATTACCCAGTTTCAGGTAGTTCTTTATAGCAATGCAAGAACAGGCTAATACAGAAAATTGCTACTGGGAGTTGGGCACTGCTATAAAGACACTTGAAAAACATGGAAGTGACTTTGAAACCGGGTAATGAGCAGAGGTTGTAACAGTCTGGAGGGGTCAGAAAAAGACAGTAATATGACAAGAAGCTTGGAACTTTCCAGAGACTGGTTAAATTGTTGTGACCACAATGCTGATACTGACATGGGCTATGAAGTCCAGGCTGAGGTGGTCTCAGATGGAGATGAGGAACTTATTGGGAACTAGAGTAAGGGTCATTCTTGTTATGTTAGCACAGAGACTAGTGGCATTGTGCCCCTGCTCTAGGGATCTGTGGAACTTTGAATTTGAGACTGACGATTTAGGGTATCTTGTGGAAGAAACGGCTCAGCAGCAAAGTGTTCAAGATGTGGCCTGGTTGCTTGTAACAGTGTATTGTCATAGTGGGAGCAAAGTGATGCTACGAAACTAAAATTTATATTTGAAAAACAGGCAGAGCATAAAAGTTTAGAAAATTTGAAGTCTGGCCATTTTGTAAAAAAGGAAAACCCAACCAGGTACTGTGGCTCACGCCTGTAATCCCAGCACTTTGGGAAGCTGAGGTGGGCAGATCACAAGGTCAGGAGTTCAAGACCAGCCTGGCCAATATGGTGAAATCCCATCTCTACTAAAAATACAAAAATTAGCCAGGCGTGGTGGCGCGTGCCTGTAGTCCCAGCTACTCAGGAGGCTGAGGCAGGAGAATTACTTGAATTACTTGAACCTGGAGGTGGAGGTTGCAGTGAGCCGAAATTGCACCACTGCACTCCAGCCTCGGTGACAGAGTGAGACTCTCTCATAAAAAAAAAAAAAAAGAAAAAGAAAAAAAGAAAAGAAAAACAACAAAACAGAAGAATCCATTTTCTAGGGAGGAATTCAAGCCAGCTGCAGAAATTTGCATAATCAGGAAAATGCCTCAAAGCCACTTCAGAAACCTTCTCATCAGTCCCTCCCATCATAGGCACAAAAGTCTAGGAGAAAATAATGGTTTCAAGAACCAAGCCCAAGGCCCTGGTGCCCTGCACAACCTTGGGCCACTGCTCCCTGTGTCCCAGCTGCTCCAGCTCCAGCTATGACTAAAAGGTCCCCAGATACGTATCAGGCCACTGCTCCAGGAGGTGCAAGCCATAATCCTTGGCAGTTTCCACGTGGTGTTAAGCCTGAAGGTACACAAACGGCAAGAGTTGAGGCTTGGGAGCCTCTGCCTAGATTTCAGAGAATGTATGGAAATGCCTTCATGCCCAGGAAGAAGTCTGCTGCAGTGATGGAGCCCTTATGGAGAACCTCTACTAGGACAGTGCAGAGAAGAAGTGTGGAGTTGGAGCCCCAACAAAGAGTCTCCACTGGGGGCCTAGTGGAACTGTGAGAAGACAGCCACCATCCTCCAGACCGCAGAGTTGTATGTTGACTAACAGCTTGCACCATCTGCCTGGAAAAGTCATAGGCATTCAATGCCAGCCCTTGAGAGCAGCCATGGAAGCTGAGCCCTGCCAAGTCACAGGGCAGAGCTGCCCAAGACCTTGAAAACCCATTCCTTGCATCAGTGTGGCCTGGATGTGAGATACAGACTCAAAAAAGATCGTTTTGGAGCTTTAAGATTTAATGACTGCCCTGCTGGGTTTCAAACTTGCATGGGGCCTGTTGCCCCTCTGTTCTGTCTGATTTATAACTTTTCGAATGAGTGTATTTACCCAATGCCTGTACCCCCATTGTATATTGAAAGTAATGAATTTGCTTTTGATTTTTCAGGCTCATGGGTAGAAGGGACTTGCCTTGTCTTTCATGAGACTTTGGACTGTGGACTTTTGAGTTAATGCTGAAATGAGTTAAGAGTTGGGTGACTATTGAGAAGGAATGATTGTATTTTGCAATATGAGAAAAACATGATGTTTAGGAGGGGCCAGGGGCAGGATGATATGGTTTAGATTTGTGTCCCCTCCCAATCTCATGGCAAATTGTAATCTCCAATGTTGGAGGAGGGGTCTGGTGGGAGGCAACTGAATCATGGGAGTGGATTCACCATTGCTGTTCTTGTGATAGTGAGTTATCACAAAATGTGGTTGTTTAAAAGTGTGTGGCACTTCCCTCTTCCATCTATTCCTCCTTCTCCAGCCATGTAAGATGTGCTTGCTTCCCCTTTGCCTTTCACTATGATTGTAAGTCTCCCAGTCATGCCTCCTGTACAGCCTGTAGAACTGTGGATATATTAAACCACTCTTCTTTATTAATTACCCAGTCTCAGGTAGTTCTTTATGGCAGTGCAGGAACAGACCAAATAGCCAAAACTAAAAACAAAAACAAATTGTTTAACAAAGGTTAAACAATGGTTTCTAAGATACGACAACTGATGCACAAGAGAAAGGAGAAAATAAATATATTGAAACATCACTAATAAAATATATTATAATTTAAAGTACCCAATAAAAGAATAAAAAGTTTAAAAATGGGAGAAAAGTCTTTGTATGTCAAACAGTCAATAAGAATTTATAATCTAGAATATATTACAACATCTTACAACTCAAAAATCCAAAGGCAAATGCTCCAATCAAAAATAGAAAATTATTTGAACAGTCATGTCTCCAAAGAAGCTATAGTAATGTTTAATAAGCATATGAGATCACTTGGACTCAGGAAGGGGAACATCACACACCGGGGCCTATCATGGGGAGGGGGGAGGGGGGAGGGATTGCATTGGGAGTTATACCTGATGTAAATGACGAGTTGATGGGTGCTGACGAGTTGATGGGTGCAGCACACCAACATGGCACAAGTATATATATGTAACAAACCTGCACGTTATGCACATGTACCCTAGAACTTAAAGTATTATAATAATAATAAATAAATAAAATAAGCATATGGAAAGATGCTCAATGCCTTTGTCGTTAGGGAAATGCAAATCCCAACCATAAGATATCCTTTACTAATCCAAAAGGCATATGACTAAGTCCAAAATGCAATTTGGAAAAAGCAAAATACTGGTTTTGTTTTTTTTGTTTTTAAATATGACACTCTAGAAAAGGTATAAGTATAGTGACAATAAACAGTTTATTGGTTACCAGGGTCTCAGTCAAAAGGAAATCTGTAAAGATAAATCTGTAAAGACAAATCCGTAAAGATAAATTTTTTTGTATATTATTATGTATGCCACTGTGATGTGGATAAAAGATACAGTTTTTCAATTC